TATTTCACTTCATCCTTTCTATAGCCGTTATAATTAATTAAATGAAAATATATCTTAAATCAAGCATTTCTGAAGTTACAATCCCAGTAAAAACTAAAGGATGCTGACACCAACTGGTACTCCCTGAAAGGAATAACTATAAATACACAAAAATCTGTAGTTTGTAGCAACAAATCATCTTTTAAGTCACATTCTTATGTCACTTTTCTCTGATATTCTTTGAATGGTTGAGGAGTTATGGAATAAATGTACAATACAGGACTGTTAAATGAACAGACACACACACAGATGGACGGTCTGACAAAGTAGTGACTATATGCCCCAACAGTTCAAGGAAAACAAAAAATATATAAACAAATTAGATATGACTGAACTTTAAGGTACTTTCTGCTTACAATAAAAGTACAGTACCCTGTATATAACAAATGATACGTGACACTCATGCCCATGATTATGCAAAGGCCATCATATTTAACAGCTAAAGATGGCAAATCAAATACAGGCAAAGAGACATATGTGCCACCATATACAGCAGAGATATATTACAGGAAGATGGTGGTAACAGTCATAGATACCCAACTGTAACTTGAATTAAATAAGTTACATAAGAGGTAATAATATATCTGGTAACATATCCAATGTCTACAGTACTTCATGTAAATACAGTACATGACCAACAAACATGAATTCATCACAATTTTGTTGGATGCAGACCATAAATTTTCTTAGGCATAAATCTATTGAACAATATGATTCTATACATAAGAGTGATATCCCAGTTAGCCACAACAATTGGTACAGAGCACTTCCGGGAATAAGAGATTTCCGGGTAACGAGACGACTCTCTCAAAGCCGGAAAAAATCCTTCATCCCCGGAATTTTGCGGTAACGGAAAAATTTTCTCAGAAGTTCCAGAAATTGCCCATTACGTCATCTCTCAAACACAGAAAAATATCCCTCATTCCCGGAATTTTCTGGGTAACGGAAAAATGTTCTTGGCAGTTCCAGAAATTGCCCATTACATCATCTCTCGAACCCGGAATGAAACCCCCCATCCACAGAATTTTCTGGGTACCGGGAAAATTTTCTAAGAATTTTCCAGAAAATTTTCCGAGAAAACTTAATTACGGCTATCAGAGAGTTCTGGGTTTGAGGGATTCCGGCTAACGGAGATATTACTATACTGTATACATATGCAGTACCTGCATATATACTATAGACATGTAGTTATACATAATACATGAACTTCTTGTTATATCAAGATGCATTAGTACAACCTTCTGAAACAGAAATATGTATGAAAGATACTAATATGTGTACACAGTGCTTTATTTTAGGACATACTGTACTGTACAGTGTATTAATAATTGTGTCTTGTTTGTTCATATTTCAGAAAATTATGCCTCCACACTCAAGTAAGATTTTGAGGTCCATTTATTATTATTATAATTATCAATGTCTTTTTTCATGGAGATTGTGAATAGAGCCATTCTGTTTAATAATAATAATAAAAAAAAAATCCAAGAAAAATTTATAGCCTGACATGAAAAACAGATTACTCACATGCTTCATGGTCACATTCTCATTACATTTGTGGCTAACCCATTGTGACAACATTACAAAGAAGCTCAAAGAACAAAAAATGATACGTAATTTGGACACCTTGTTCACATGTTAAAGACCAACAATATGGGCAGTTTATATAAATTAGGTAAAGGAAAAAAATTTATTTTCATATTCAACAAAATATCTCATGTTTTTTTAATACTAAGTGTTGTTTTTCTCGGATAACCCCTTAAAAGTGTCCACTCTTTCTCAAATAAATGCACAAAAAAGCTACTATGCCCGTCATGTAAGCTTAACAAAAATTGACTTTTCATTAAGCTCCCTATCATGCCAAGTCAATAATTTGCAGTAAGCAAACATACTTCCTATGATGTATTTCAAATTATTATAAAGAGATTTCAATGCACCAAAATACTGTTTCTTCATGCATAAACTTCAACCATCCGTTACCTTCAGTATTAATGCATTTTTAGTGCAGACACATCAAGCATATCAAACAAATTCAATGAAGGTCACTAGAGTAATATCCAAGGCAACATTCCTTCATACTGTAGTATATATGTATGAGAAAATAGGCTGAAAATACTGGAGGGCAAAAGTTCCCTAAGATTAACCATATTAACTGAAAAAATAAACTGGCATTGGGATAAGTAATCATAATAAATTTATATATTAAGATGATACAATTTACATTTATTTACTAGTCCTATCAGATGGTGATACATAATGCATTTTAATTATATACAAAGACTATCTTTTTCAACATTTTGGCCAAATACCTGTAAGTCAGTTATCCTTAAGTTTTGTAATAAAACATGATCTTTGCATGACAAAGCAATTATATTTGAATGCAAATACCCCTGTATTGTTAAACACATCCACAAATTAATATACAGCACTTATATGGAAATGCAACTAATAAACAATATACAGTATGTACGTATAACTATTAAACATAATATTTATACTGTACATCTAAATATAAAACAGCTCCACAACTAAATATGCTTCTAATTTGAGTACAGTATAAATATACAATTCCTAAAAGTTTCAACACAATTTAAAACTAAAACCCAAATAACCATTATAAATCACAAGGTATTAAGATTTTTCATTACGAAGCCTGGCTCATGTAAACCAACAACCAGTAGTAATCAAACATCAACTGAGCATGATTAATAAGACTGAAATTAAACATTATTCTTATTTCTACAAATTCCTAAGTAAATCTGTAACACTACTAATCATGAAATGAGCATTTAGGTAGTACAGGTTGTACCTCTCTAGTCCAGCAACCTCGGGACCTGACCGGTGCCGGACCATGGAAATTGCCAGACCATGGAAATTCATCCATTTCCTGGATAGATAGTGACTTGTGCTTATGCTTGGAAGCACTAGCACCACTTTCTCTGCATCATGGTCTCTTTGAAGACATATTGAAGGGTTAAATGTCGTATAGTAGCTTCTCAAATTTCGCGAGTTTTTAATTCTTAATGTATTTTATTGGAACAAACAAACAAAAAATAAATAAAAATTTTGACAGCGGAAACTTGAATTTCGACGGGTTTGAATGGCCCGCCAACGTGCAGACGACGTGCATAATCGTGTAAACAGCGTCATTTCTCTTATGTACAAAAGATTCATTATTGTTTATTATTGAATGTCTTTTTTATTGAATTAATGTTTACTGTATGTGTGCAAAATGAGCAATACAATTCATTAATAATACGTAGAATATTAAAACACACGAGGAAATGACACAGCATTGTTTTCGTTGATTACAAAACCAGTGACTGACTGGTTCTACATATAAAACTGAAGAAAATAAGACCTTGGTTGTAGCTGTAGTAAAATTAATATGGTTGTTTTAAGTAATGTTATTTAAAGTTAATAAATGGAGCAATAGAAGTCGCTCACGATAATGGTAAAGAAAAAAGAGAGATCGCATATGTAAGTGCGCACACGTGAAAACATATCGTCATTACTTTACATAAGAATATGAAAGCAACACTTATTTAATGTTCATATATATTTTAATTACTGTAATATTTCTGAATTTGTTTTTATTGAATTAATGTTTGTGTGTGCAAAATTAACAATACAATTTATTAATAATCGTGGAATATTAGAGGAGAAGAGACGGCTGCCAGCATTGTTTATGTTAAAGCTTACAAAACCAGTGACTGATTGGTTCTACATATAAAACTGAAGAAAATAAGACCCTGATTGTAGCTGTAGTAAAATAAATGTAAAAAAATTAATATGGTTGTTTGAAGTACCTGTAATGTTATTTAATGTTAAAATGGAACAATATAAGTAGCTAACCATTAATGGTAAAAAAAAAAGTGAGACTGCGCGTATGTAAGTGCGCACATGTGAAAACATATCGTCATTTCTCTACATAAGAATATGAAAGCAACACTTATTTACTGCTCATATATATTGAAGGGTTAAATGTTGTACTCTGTATAGACAAGCAGAGAGAGAGAGAGAGAGCAGCCGAACTGCCGGATGTAAACAAACCTTAATTTCCCGCGGCTTTTTTTTTTTAAGGGGATTAGCCCACCCGGGCATAGGTCACTGACCCACATTGGGGCCTGAGGGGCAAAAATTTAATACTCCTGTAATAATAATAATAATTCAGATAAGTAAAAAAAAAAAAATGCCTATCTACCTATTGGACAAACTAAAATCGTTCCGGACCACGGGAGTTTCCGGACCACAGAATGCCGGACTAGAGGGGTACAACCTGTACTGTGTATTATAGTGTAATATTATTAAATTTTAATCCATCTCATTGTGGTCTGTTATTATAAAAAAAAAATATTTGTTCCATTAGTTATACAGTACTGTACTGTATTCATACACACTCCTGAGTAAGAAGTGCATATATCATTCATGAGATATAAAACAGAATGACACATCATATTTCCATAACAATGTTACAGCTGCAGGAACAAACTCCAGTTTTGTTGAATATTTACCAATATAGCAGTACAGGGTACTAGTTAGGAGGCACAATGCTCAAGTGAGCAAAAACGTTGTAAAATATTAGTAACATCAAAATTATGCACAATATGTTTTGTGTCACCCTTGGGAAGTATCACCTTTTGGTGATCAAGAATAATTTGGCCTGCCTGTGTACAGAGTATTCAACTTTTATAGGTCAATAAGAACAAAATAAATTGCAGAATGGGACCAAGGTTGTACTCTATCAGCAATATGTTAACATTCCCTAAAAAGCAAGGAAATAAAAGAATTATCACAGTCAGTATTAATCTGTGATTTCTATATCTAAGCACACAGATTATCCTTTAGAAAGACACACAAACTTAATTCTGGACCTCAGGCACAACAATGTCTTCAGGATCTGCATACTGTTTAGACAAAATTACATATTCAGCATCAAAAGGATTATACTGTATATATTAAGAAAACTGTATAACTTGTTTAATAAATATCATAATTACATACACTTGATTACGTACCTATTTGAAACATGACAGCATGCAATCCTAAATAGCCTCTCCTATACAGGAAATTCTCAGTTGTAATCTGGACAGACGAATGATGATAAAAGTCCTATGGTAAGAATTAAGGTCATTGTAAATATATCCTGTGATATTTTGGGTTTACAATCTTTGAAGAACATGTTATCAAACAAACCCATTTTACAGATTGTAGTTCACTTGCCTTCTTCCAGCTTGACTTTTTGTTTATCACTAACATACATATGCTCTGTTCAAATGAGATATTCAGAATTATGTTGTAAAATTGGCATTAAATTTTAAGATAATAATCCCTAGAGCAAATGGCAACCTATAAAGAAAGGTAAGGATATCATCTTGGTAACCTAGTCATGGGTCTTGATCCCTTCCACACATATGTCTTTTCATACACATATTGAACTCCTACAATTATTCTTCTCAAAGAGAGACAATAAAATTTGTTTCTCATACAGCAAATCCATACAAAGGGTAAATCATCAACTGAGCTACAGGTTACTTAGTTTCCCTTTGACTTTCCTTAAGTTTGTGATCTTTCCTCAGTTATATAAAACTAATAAATGATTCAATTGCCTTTAGGTTTCTCATAATATTTGTCAAGTTTCAAACCTAAACCTATGAATTATTTCTAACAATAGAACAAACCATTTCACTTGAAAATGTTTAACATTTCCAAATATAGTAAGATATATGATTACTACTTGGCTCTATGTAGTTTTACAGCATAAAATATTACCTAAGCACTATGACTAATAGTAAATGTAAACTTAGAAGAGCTATCCCTTCCAGACAGCACACCTTCGCCCTATCATTTCTGTACATTCACTTGTATGAATACTGTATAATAATTCTTACCATCCTGTCTATCTAAGCCATCTTCTCAAATCTCTTGTTTCCTCTAACTGGGTAATGTAAGGTGAACAATTTACAATTTGTCAACACAAACTCAATTACTTCACCTCACAAAATCTAAGGTATTCAGCATTATACAGGGTATTAATATTCTGCCGAGATGTTTACCAATTCTTAAATGGCTGTTACTTCAGTCAACACAATTTTATACCCAAAAAAAATTTGTAGAAAAACTTTTGAAAATAAACACACATTATACTGTGTATTTAACAAGTATACAATACTGAATTACACTAACATTAATTCAGCTCTTCTATCTTTGTTTTCCTCCTCGATTTATTTTCTAATTGAGATACAGTATACAGCCTTTGAAATTCTCAAACCACAGAAAACATTAAAGGAGCTTAACAATACAAAAATTAATTGCTGTAACTGAAATTTTGTACTGCAATCATTTGCCACACCCTGTCCAACCCCTAAAATTATAAAATATAAGTTTAAATTTCATCAACAATATTTATTATATAACCAGAACTTCTTTATAACAATAATTACTGTATAAAGATAAGGCTAAGTCCCCATAACATAAATGACCCCATTGGATGAATTTTGTTTTTTTTAAAGAGCAAAACTAAAATAATCAACAAGGTATGGCCAAAATCAATCTCGAGTTGGAAACTTTTTTCATGACAACTACACACCAAATTCAAAATAAATCTTTCAACTATTTTCTTTTTAATGAACAGAAACTAATAGTAGGTCAACTTACACACACGACAAAAGTAACATGCCCTTCAATAATGTGGGGAATAATAATAATAATAATAATAATAATAATAATAATAATAATAATAAAAACGTATTCAAAATAACAAATTCCCTTTATACATACAGGTATAGCACAGATGACATATTTTTTGTAATGCTTAGGAAAGTTGTTTAATGACAGCTGATAATAATTGATTACAATTATAAAACATATGGCAATCTCTCTCTTACTAAGTTTTTGTATCTGCTCTTAATATAAACAGAAGGATATTCTTCATATGAACCGTATCATAGAATGCAAACGGTTTATAATTTTTTAATTTCACTTTCCCCTCCTCATCTTCCACTTAGTACCCCCAAAATATACAGTATTCGCTTTCATGTACTGTAGTATATTTGACAAAATATTAAAGTTTGCAAGAAAAAACAAACAAAAATTCTTCTAAAAACTCTTTCATACAATTTTACTATATTCTGAATGAGTAGCATTTGCAACACTTAACCAAGCAATAAATGGTGTTACAACAGAATGCAGAACATGCCTCACCGGATACCAATTCTTTAAACAATAAAGTGAACTATGAAAAAGCACTTCATAAAAATGTTATTCTTGACCTTAATACAAATCCTCAAAAAATGCCATAGTTTTAAAGAGTACTAGTGAGTGGCACACTGAACACCCCGGTGACCATCAGAATCCTCACTGTCATTACTATCATCACTTGAAGATCCTCCGGTGCCTGCACCACCTTCAGCTCCAACACTGCTGTTGCTAGTGCTTCCTGCTGCTGCCATCTGGGTGTGAAAATTAATTCATTCAGTATTTGCTTTCAAATTTTATGATGGGGGTTATAAAAGGAAATCTCCATTAGCTGCCTGCAATAGTACTAAATTTAGAGGATTAGTGATGATTTTTGTAGAATTAGTTGGACAATGTACACTATAGTGTAAACACAACTTTTGAGCAGGAAACACAAAAAAGATTAACTTAATTTTCTGAGGTACATAGATTCTAAGTGAATAATCAAGTGATCCAAAATTACAATCTTGCTTCAAGTTTTGTGCACCATCAGAAGTAAATAAACCTAAGTGAAGCACTGCATATATGCAGGTACAGTAGTCCTTGTTTATTGCGAGGGTTCTGTGGTATGCAAAACTAATTTTCCCATTAGAAACAATGTATGAAGGGGTAGATGTATCCCTAGGCATAAATTTTAGGGGTAAAGTACAGGTGTTGACCATTATACGATGGGGTTATGAACTTCGCAAAGCCATCATAAGGTGATTGATCGCATATCGACATGAATAACTTATGGGGAAAATAGGGTCTGCTTACGAGACCCTGAAGAGCTAGAGTTAGCACTCACACAAGTTATTTTTCAACTCGTAATTTTGAGTAGACAAACGTAATTTCTTGATATTTTTTTACATGCACACAATATTTCATGTAGTATGTGGAAAAAAATATAACAATTATCATTAGGTGAAAAACAAAGGATATAAACATTTCTCATGTGTGGGAAATAGGCCACACAATGGGGTAGAGGGATCTCGGCTGTTTGCGGTCTCGTGTCCCGAGTGAAGAAAGGATTGCCAAATGGTGCCAGGGAGCGACGTGTCCTCCTAATATTACGTAGTACTTAAGTAATTATTAGATGTTTTAATTGCCTGTATGTTGGTCTGGTGAGTTGATGATAGGCATTTACACACTTGGGTATAAAGCTAGATGTCGCATTCTGGACTATATCACAAAAACTGGTTTTTAGAAGAAAAAAAAACGTCTTTTTTCTTTTATTTATTAGTTATTTTTATTTATTCCTCTCATTTACTGGCACAGTACAGTATATATTATTTTATGTACAAAGAATAGCTTTTTCCTCATGCAAACTATCCTCTAGGTCAGGGGTTCTCAACCAGGGGGGGAGGGGGGGAACTGATACTAATATGGAAAAAATAAAGGATTTTCAGTATTATATGCATATTATTTGGAATGCACTTTTTGAGGCAGACAATCTTGGAAAGGAGGGGGGAATGACATTCTGACATATGGTGAAAGGGGTGCATGGGGCAAACAAGGTTGAGAACCACTGCTCTAGGTGATGTGACAGTTCAGTTGCTCAGTCCGACATCCTGTGTGGGTCGCATGTGTTATGCCATTTCAAAATTGAATCGTCATATCTTGGAATATTGCAAGTTGCTGCACATCACTTTTTCATAGCAGTAACAATGCAGGAAAACATTTGGTAGCAACCAATGTAAATCTGACTTGTCCATCGCATTGCGGTATTTGGTTGTTTTTAACATTGTAAAATTGATCGATCATATATCAATCAAATGTATAACGGTCAACACCTTTACTGTATGTATGACTTTGATATAAAACTAAAGTCCAGTTATAAGAAGAATCGAAAAAAAATATACAAGTGAACCTCAACATTCATGTAATTAACATCTGCAGTTTTGACTATTCAATTATTTGAAATAAATACCCTTTTAACACTCTTCATACAATGATGGCAACTTGTGGTCATTATCCACTGGCTGGGTGAATATAGAAATTTAAAAATAAATCAAATTATTTAAAATCTTATCAGCTTATAGAAAATTTAATTCTTATTTACACCATTAAAGTTGAGGAATTGAGTAAACAAAGGATCACTTCAATCCTATGTGGAAGCCACATGGGTAGAAGGTACCCCAACACCACCAGCATATTCCCTCTATCACTCACCCCTATGATTCACTAAAACTATTAGTCAAATCTTGAGGAAAGTCACCATTTTCACTCTTTTACATCACTGTCACTATGCAAAGTATGCAAGGCAGGGTCATCCTTGTCTCCTAAATCAAATATAATGGTATCAATTTCCTCCTGTGTGGGGAGCCATGTGTGAGTGGAAGCATTATGTCTCAACTCAGCCATGGTTCAGCCTACACCCACCTAGGGCATTGCCAAAAGCCTCCACAATTATGCTCCAAAAAAAATTAAGCACAGGTAACTTTTATTGAGTTTGTGAAAAATATACTGTACCAGTAATGCAACAGGTGTGCTGGGGGGACCTGTTGCTTGATTATTCATAGATGATTAATGCCACCACACACACACACACACACACACACAACTTTGTAGGGAAAATTGTCCAATACTTTACAGGAAACTTTGCAATGAATCGAGAAATTCATACAGCCTTGCCTTGGGCATGAATAATAACAAACTGAGGGGAGAAATGCCAAACAGCTGTCCAAAACATTATCCACCAGATTGCTACCTAACCACTCAAAAAATATTTTACTTCCTCATTTTTTACCACAAGGGCATTTTTTTTAATAATTTATATTGTACAACTTCTTCATAACTAGAATTCAATCACCTAGAATACTTAACCTGGCAGAATGTCAAGTCAAGATTGGCTATTCAATTGCTCTGAGAATGCTTAGTGCAATCTTAGAATGTGAATTCTGTTCAGTTTTAACTGTTACTGTACAAAAGATTCCATTGATCATATCACTAGAGCAAATATTTTAGATTAAAATTTTCAGATGTAAGAAGTTGGCCTAGAAGCATATGAGAAAAATAGACCCTATTGTAAAAGATAAGGGTGTAATACTAGAAGCAATTTCTAAATTCACAGCACTTGTAAACACACTGGTTGTGAAGACCCATGACTGTTTATCTCTTTGCAATCTTTCTGACTAATTAACAAGAGAAAGTTAGTCCAGAAACTGATTTTCATGCCACAAAAAACTGTAAAATAAGATTGACATGGTCAGCATATCTAGTGTGTATGAAAATGTTAATTCAGGTATCCCTCACTTAACGAATGATTAGGTTCTTGGAAAATCATTCATTTAAGTGAATTTTTGTATTTCAAGTATGTAACCGGGAAAAAAAAAGGAAAAATAGGATTCACTTTCCAGCAAAAAATAAATAAATAAAAATATTATACCCCCAAAACACGAAATTGGTTCACGAACAACAACAAAAAACCTACCCAGCTAATGAAAAATACTACATAACCCATTAAAAACATTAACCCTCTCGACCTCGCACAACACCATTGTGGCATCGAACATAAAAGGCGAAAAAACTTACATTCAGCCTCGCGACACCAACCTGGCATCCAATGGGCTATATTTTCAAACAACTAAAAAATTATTCAGTGAAACCGACTGAACTTTGGACGCCATTTGACAGACGACGTTTTCTTTGTGTGGGCCTCATCACCTTTCCCGAGACGGTCTTGGTCATCGCGTGCAAGGCAGCGCAGCATGACGCCAGTATCGCTCTGGCCGTTACAGCAAGAGGAGGGTGCACCACTTGGCCCTTTAATTATTCCACGAATTTTTGTTATATTATATTTCCTTATATACAGTACCACGATATTCTACAGGCTTTGTTCTTTATTTTGGTATATAGTACATATCAATGAACACCATAATACAAGGAAAATGTGAATGGAAATCGAGATGTCACTAAACATTTTCCTACTTTTTCAAGTTGTACTCGAAGTGGTATAAATTTTAAGAATTTTCAATTTTTTTATGGTTTCATACAAATTTTCAGACAATTTTACATTAAAAGAGACTCCATTACAACTAATAAAACAATATCCATGGCAGTGAAATGAGCCCTTAAAAAATATTTTTTTTCAAAGATTTTTTGGCAAAACATCCGAGGCCGAGTGCAAGTTTTCATGCAAGTGTGTCTCACAGAGGCTGAGAGGGATAATAGAATACTGTCTAGAACAAAATATGCAGCTAAAACCATTAAGGAAAAGCTAAATGAAAGTTCAACACAACTGCCATTTGCACAAGTCACATTTGCATGGCTTCAAAACTTGCCATAGTAACTCAGCCCTGTTGAAATAATGCCTCAGCTCCCTTGCTTAGCCTACTAACTCTCCTACACAAAGTAATATTAATTCCCTTCATGTTTTGACCTTATGATGGTTATTTTTGTCTTTTTTGCACTTATATTTAAAGGACAGTACAGGACTCCCCGGGTTACGTTCCTGAGGATGTTCGTAAGTCAGATTTGTACGCAAGTCGGAACACATGCCATATGCATACCATACTTACAAAACAATGTTTAAAATCCCACTATATCATAGCCTAAGTCCTTATATACATCTAAATTCACTTAATTTAAGACAAAAGAAGAAGCAATGATAAAATACAGTAAACTAAAGTAAAAAAATAACTCAGGTAAATAAAATATAGTCTCTCCTCGACTTACAACAACCCGGACATACGACTGCCATGTTCGTATAAAATATTTTTCACATTACGCATTTTCGAGTCCCAACGTTAGTGACCGTGCTGTGTACTGACAAAATTTTCGTTTGTAATTCCCTTTAAAATGGCTGGCAAGCATAAAAGTAGAGAGTTCTTGTGGTGCTGAGAAGAAAAAGAGACACCCATTTTAGAATTTCTATGTATTATTTTCGCCTTTTCGACTTACAACCTGGTCGTCGGGACGGAACCCCGTTCATATCGGCGGGTGTTCGTAAATCGGGGACCTCCTGTCTGTGCATGTAACCGAGTAAAAAAAAAAGAAAAAAAGAAAGTTAACCTGATCAACCCAAAAGTTGAAAAATAACTAACATACCTCACCTGCTGACTGAAGAAATGATTATTCCCTTTATTTTTTTAACTTAAAAGTTAATTACAGGGTGTTTGGCATTTTTTTTTTTTGCACATTCCTTTTGTAAGATTGTGTATGCCTGTAACCGAGTATAAAAATAGAAGAAAGTCAAGTTAACTTGCCAAAATTTTGAATTGAATAATAACCATTA